CTTACCTCTTTTCTCTTTTATTTTCTTTTCCCAGAGTTAACTCAAAAAACCATTGGTAAGTCATCTAAATCTACAAATTGCCACTTTGTTTTTAGTACTTAGAACATCAATCTTTTTTCACCTCAATGATTTATGCCCACAGACTCAAGGATCCAGCGCTTCCATCGTGTTATTATCCCACCCACAACTCCTCTAGGTTGGACTCACCCAGGTTCTGCCATAAAAATTGTGAAGCTGAAATACAAAGTGAAAAAATTGGACTCACCCAGGTTCTGCCATAAAAATTGTGAAGCTGAAATACAAAGTGAAAAAATAACTTTCAGGGATGATCCTGCCTGAGCTATTCCCACTTATGTGTAGCACTTAGCTCTTCAGAGCCAATGTATAATAAAAATTTAAAAAACAGCATTCAACTTCTTGCTTTTCATGCAAATAACATTTTAATTATTAGATTATTTAGATTATTTTAATTTTATAAAATAATGTAAATTTTAAGTTTCTTGTCATGTCTTCTTGTTCTGAAAAGTTCCTTACAAGACAATTAGTTTCCATTTTCACCAACTTGTAGCAATTTTCTCTAATACATTTTTTCATAAAAACATTGTAAATAATGGTTATATTCCGAGGTATAACTGTTCACAACTACATGTTTGCAAACTGGAATGTGTATTTATATAAATGATTACAGTTTAATTCACAAATGGATTATAATTAACAAAAATAAAATTTAATAAATTATAAAACCAAAAAACATGATTTGTAGTTTCTCTATATTCATTTGATAGAATGAATGAGTCCTATATCCTGCTGCACCACAATGCTGGCCCCAGGAATGTCTTCTTAATAGGTATTTATAGGTGTCCCAGTTCAGATGCAATTTACAAATCAAAGCCCATTCTTACATAAACAATGCTGTCAAGTAATATAGTTGGCTTTCAATCTTTATCAGATTGCCAGGGGATCACAGCTGGAAAATCAACCTAACAGTCAGACCTCATTAAAAACAGGGTTTTGTTAATCCTCTGCTGACAGATTATAAAGCTAATCAAAACAGCAGTCACCCAATAAGTTAGAAGTGGTGATAAAGAAGGGCTGAGTCCTTACCTCCTATACTAAAGCCTACCTCTAGAACAGAAAGATTTTAGTGCAAGTATTATCCCTGAGAAAGCATGATCTTCTATTTTTACTGACAGGAAGGGAAAGTACAAAGTTTTCACTTTAATATTGCTTCAGTTGACATGGATCATACAATAATCCTCACTTCAGGCTGACGTATTTCTTTTATGCCATAAAATATGTCTTTTATGCCATACTTAACACAGCTGGGTTAGTTCTCCAAAATAATCTCAAACCTGGTATCACTTCTGCCCTAGTCTACTTCCCAAAGGCCTACCCTTAGAATAAACATAATATGCAATATATTCTTCAGATGAAAGCCCTACTAACATGCCAATTTGAATTCCTTTATAGTGCAAACTCCAGGACCTATTGGTAAGTTGCCAGTATCTACTCATCTCTAGTGGCTTCGTATTATGTATGAAGGACTTTGGCTCGAACTGATTTGTTTCAGGGTTAAAGATACAGTCACATTTCTCAAACTCTGAACAATCAATCATATTTTAGAAAACAGAAATTCCACTGCCCTAAAATGCATACTAGGCAGTTTAACTTTTTAAAATATTAATGATTCAAAGCAAGAATGCCACAGAAAGAATCAGAAGGATGTAAGAAGTGAGCAAGAAGAAAAAATAGGGATGGCTGAAGGAGATAAATATGAGTGCTATGAAGGAAAAAGCATTGACTAAGATGAGTAAAGGAGTAAAATCAAGAACTTCACCTGCAACACCTGTAATGAAAAGCAATAATGAAGTAGTTATCTTTCCAACTAAAACATGGATACAATCTCCTAGAGGAAGATCTGGTTCTTATAGAGAGGCTATAATATAGAAACAATACAATTTAAAAAGTTAATCTTGAATATTCAGGTTTAGTAATTCTTGTGTAAATAATTTTCACAACTTTACTTTAAAAAGCATCATATGTGTTTTTATATTCAACCACAATAATCTGTTTCTATTTTTAGTACAATATACTGGATCCAGTAGTGGTAAGTCCCATAAATCCTCCCTTGTGTTTCCTCATCTTCTTCAGTGTCTACAAGGTCCATTCCCCATCCTACCTGTGTCTATTTGTGGTAAGAACAGCAGTTAAAGACGTGTTTCCATGTGTCCCCCTTTCCACCTGCTGAGTTCTCCAGAATTTTTTCAGAAAAAAACTAACTAAGGATGGTCTCTATAACAAATCTAGAGAATTCTCTAAATAGAGAAAGAATAATAATGCATTTTGCTAGTTCTTGACTGCTTTGTACTTTATAAAAGGCTTACCCAGAGATAGTTGAGACAATGTAGAGAAAATGAGAAAGCAGTTAATGTGATGCCTCTGGCTTTGGTAGTTTTGTTCAAGATTACATTGGCTATTCAAAAGTTCTTATAATGTCATAGACATTTGGGGATTTTTTTCTAGTTTTTGTGAAGAATCTCATGGTATTTTGTTGAAGTCTTCACTGAATCTGTAAATCACATTGAATAATATGAACATTTAATAATATTAATTCTTCCAATTCATAAACATGAGTGATTCTTCTATTCTTTTTTGTGTCATTTTCTACATCATCCACTATAGAAATCTTTTACCAAAAAATTGTTAAATTTATTTCAAGGCATTTAAAAAATTTTTTGTGAATTTTGTGAATAAGTTTGCTGTTACAGCTTTTTTTTAGTGAGTTCATTACTGGGGTAACAAAAAGCTAACTAATTTTGTGTCTTGAGACTTGACCAGATTAGTTATTAATTCTAAAAGTCTTTCAGTTAAGTATAAATGTTTTTCTATATACAGGCTCATATCATCTTTACATAAATGGACTTCCTGCTTTATTATCTGCATGTGTTTTATTTCTTTGTGTTGCTTAATTGCTCTGATAAAACTTTCAGAACTATATTTAATAAGAGCACTGAGAGTGAACAACCTTGTCTAGTTCCATATATTAGAAGAAATGTTTTAATGCTGATATTTCTTTGGTGAATTTTTGCCTGATGATCTGACTGCTGATGAAAGTGGGATGTTGAAGTCCCCCACTATTATTTTATTAAAGCCTGTTTTTCCCTTCAGATCTAATATATGCTTTATAAAGTTTGGTGCTTCCAGTATCAGCTTGATATACATTGACTATCATTATATCTTCTTGTTGAATTGCTACTTTCATCATTATATACTGACCTTCATTATACCTTTTTAGAGTATCTGTCTCAAAGTATATTTTGTCTGCTATAGGTACAGGTTTGTATGGAGTACATTTTCCATTCTTTCAGTCTGTGTGACCATTTATTTGGAAGTAAGTTTCTTGTAAGCAGCATATCATTAGGTTTTGCTTTTTTATTCATTCAGCCAGTCTGTATCCATTCACGTTTAAGGTTATTATTGGTAAGCAAAGACTTACACCTATGACTTTTTAAAAATTTCTTCAATTTGTTTGGAATATATCCTTTTTTCTTCCCTTCCTCTTTTCTTGCGAATTTTGTGATTTGGTGACTTTCTGTATTGATAAGGTTTAATTCTTTACTACTTATCTTTTGTGTATATGTTATTCTAACAGCTTTTACATTCTCACATTTTCAATATGATAGTTCTCTTTCTTTTCTTTTTGATGTAAGGCTTCCATGATCATCTTTTGTAAGGCTGGTGAGATGTTGATGAGTTCCTTAGGTTTTTACTTATCAAAAATGTCTCTTATTTTTCCGAAGAAATTCCTGAAATATGAAGATATGTTTATTTAACAACATCTCAATGGTTCGGAAGTTTGTTTTTGACAGGCAGAGTGGACAGAGAGAGACAGACAGAGAGAAAGGTCTTCCTTTTGCCATTGGTTCAACCTCCAATGGTCGCCATGGCCGGCGCATTGCAGCAGGCACATTGCGCTGATCCGAAGGCAGGAGCCAGGTGCTTATCCTGGTCTCCCATAGGATGCAGGGCCCAAGCACTTGGGCCATCCTCCACTGCACTCCTGGGCCACAGCAGAGAGCTGGCCTGGAAGAGGGGCAACTGGGACAGAATCCAGTGCCCCGACCGGGACTAGAACCTCGTGTGCAGGTGCTGCAGGCGGAGGATTAGCTTGTTGAGCCACGGCGCCGGCCCAGAAGTTATTTCTTTTGTTTTATCTTTTGTCTTTTGTCTAATTGAAATATGTCATAAGATCTGTGTTAAAGTTCAGATAATATTTATTATAATTAATCTAGCCTTAGTGAGGCTTTCAACTCTAATTTTTGTTATCTTTTTACTAAATTCCTTATTCATATAATGCATTTTTCCTAATTTAATTAAACTATTTGCAGTCTACGGATCTCTTTGAGTATCCTTATAATCATTCCTTTGAATTCTCTGTCAAATATCCTATCTCCATTTTTTTGGAGTCTGTTACTAAAGCATTATTGTGTACTGCCTTCTTTTTTTAAAGATTTTATTTATTTATTTGAGAGGCATAGTTACAGACAGTGAGAGAGAGAGACAGAGAGAAAGGTCTTCCCTCTGTGGGTTCGCTCCCCAAATGGCCAGAGCTATGCTGATCTGAAGCCAGGAGCCAGGTGCTTCTTCCCAGTCTCCCCTGTGGGTGCAGGGACCCAAGCACTTGGGCCATCTTCTACTGCTTACTCAGGCCACAGCAGAGAGCTGCATTGGAAGAGGAACAGCCAGGACTAGAACTGGCGCCCATATGGGATGCCAGTGCCATAGGCAGAGGATTAACCTACTGCGCCAAGGTACCAGCCCCCTGTGTATTGCCTTTTTATTATATACTTCTTGTTTTATTTCACTGATAGTTGTGCATAGGGCCAGCATTGTGACATACTGGGTTACGCCACAACCTGCAGTGCTGACATCCCATATGGGCAGCAGTTTGAGCCCCAGATGCCCCACTTCCAATCCAGCTCCCTGCTAATGCACCTGGGAATGGCATAGAGGACATCCCAAGTATTGAGCCCCTGTTCCCACGCTGGAGACCCAGAAAAGCTCCTGGCTCCTGACTCCTGGCTTCAGCCTGGCCTAGCTTCAGCCATTGCAGCCATTTGGGGAGTGAAACAGCAGATGGAAGACCTCTCTCTCACTCGCTCTCTCTTTCTCTCTCTCTCTAACTCTGCCTTTTGAATAAATAAAAAAATCTTAAAAAAAACAATATTGGTGCATCTAGCTGATAGAGATCAGTTGTCTCTATCATTTGTAAAGGGTGGATTTGTGGTAAAAGGCTTTTTCCTCCAAAGATATGTCTTCAAATATTGTTTTGGTAGACCACTTTGGCTCTACTTCCAGTAGTATTGTCTCCTCATGTCTTCTACTACTGTATTCAATGACAGCACTAGTGGGAGTATGGGCAAGCTGTTCAGTCTCAGTAAGAGTGTGTAGTTCCCAGTAGTGACCTCCAGGCTGGGGCTGTGATCATTGAAATACCAGCCCTCATTCCACTGTTGCTGGGTTCCCAGTAGCAAAATACAGCAGAGACAAATGGCTCTCCATGGTGCTAGAAGGAATTGTTCCAAAGGTGCAGTAGTACTAGACTGAATTCCACTGAGGGCGAGTATGACCCATAATTCCCTAGGGAGACATAAAGAGTCACAAAGGATGGACTGCCAGTTCACAGGAGCAAGCACGCCAACGTCTAAGGTTCCCAGAGAAGAGACTTCCTGCTGTGGTGAACCAGCTGTCCTCAGTATTGCAGGGCACTGCTAGTGCTAGGGTTGAGGTCACAGTTGCACTGCTGGATCTTGCTGAGTTTGTAGAGTTGCAATACTTACTGCAAGTGTATCAGGATGTCTGTGTGATCACAGGGTTTGGGATATGCCAGGGTCTCTGTACCTAAGGCAGTGTGGATTCTAATAGTGGCCCCTTTCTCAAGATTATGTCATACTGCCACAACCTACACTTCAGATTTTAGGGGAGACAATATGAGTTCCTTCTCTGAAGCAAAGCTCAGGTAGCTCCCATTACTGGGCTTCAGGCTTGCAACTACTATACATTCTTCATGTACCTGAAACTGTCAGCATCTAGCATCCCTGGATATGGAATCTGCTGCTCATCTTGTCCCCTGCCAACAGATTTTTCTGCCAGTGGAGTTAAGGTTGTGGTTGCAGGTGTATCTTGTTCCTCTCTTTAAGCTGCCAGCCAAGGGTACTGTGTCCCACAGGATTCCTTTGCTGAGTTCCAGTCTTCTCCTTCAGGCACTATTCTTGAAAAGCAGTTATTTACTCAGCATTTTGGTTTTTCTCTGCGGAGGATTAGGCTAGTGTTGGACACCTCTATTCATCTGTCTTGGAGTCTCAGTAGTTGTAAATTTTAAAAGTAGAGAACTTCCACACTGACTACGACCTTGCCTAAATATGATCAGAGTCGGTGAGCTCAAAAGGCTTCCATAGCCTTGGAAACTCATGACAAGAGCCTAGGGTGATTACTGATGCCATAAACAAGAGTGTCAATTTGTTAAGTCAACAACAGGAGTCACTGTGCACTTACTCCTCATGTAGGATCTCTGTCCTCAATGTGCTGTACATTGTGATTTAATGCTGTAACTAGTACTCAAACAGTATTTTTCACTTTGTGTTTCTATGTGGGTGCAAACTGTTGAAATCTTTACTTAATATATGCTAAACTGATCTTCTGTATATAAAGAGAATTGAAAATGAATCTTGATGTGAATGGAAGGGGAGAGGGAGTGGGAAAGGGGAGGGTTGCAGGTGGGAGGGAAGTTATGGGGGGGAAGCCATTGTAATCCATAAGCTGTACTTTGGAAATTTATATTCAGTAAATAAAAGTTAAAAAAATAATGGACATACATTATAAAAAAAAGTAGGTGTAAATGAGAGGAAAGATAACAAAAATTAAGTAAATTGAGGTATTAATCTACTGATACATAAAGGCATGAACAATACAGGAAAAGATGTGGTTTGTCCCTGATATCATGGAGTATACAATCCTACAAGATATCTTAGAACTTGAATTCAAAAAATGGAAAGGGTGGGCAACCACCCACACAATCATACCATGACCTCTAAAGCTACAAGTTTCTTGTTCTAGATGCTGGTATTCACTTAAATTAATGCTACCTCTCCAATATTCTTAATTATCTACAAGACCTACAGCCTTGGAAGTTCTCACAATTCCTGCAGAGAGAAAATACAAGCCAGCCTGTGTCAGCGGATCTCACTAGAGAAACGGATGCAACTACCTAACACAGAGTTCCCTAGTAGCCCACATGCTAGAAAACTTATATGAGTATATAAAATCATTGCTCTTACATTCTCCTCACTTGACTCTCTCTCCCCATGTGTAAACACTTTAAAAATAATAATGTTTAAATTAAAATTATTAACACTTGTTTTCCTTTCTAGTTTATTCCTAAATTACAAGTGACTTGGATAAAGTTCAAAATACACTGACTAATATTAAAATAACTATAACAAGAACTAGTGGCTCCCAAAAAGGATTGAGAAGGAAACTTTTCAGATCAATTAAAAGATTAGGTAGGAAAGAGAGATTAAATAAAATGAAAAAGATGAAAGTATTTAGAAGTACAAGTTTAAGATATTATGACTCTGGAAGTGGTATGGAAATGACGAATGAAGCCTTACTTTCATTTTATAGCCACTCTCTTGCCACAGATCAGCACCAAGCCTCAAACCACATAACACAAAGTGAGCAACTTGAGGCCAGACACTGACTGAAAACTAAGCTAATATGCAGGATTTAGAACTCCCTGATTCCTCTCTGAAGTTACTCTTAAAAGGCCTCTCTTGGAGAGGGAGGAGATCTATAGTCCGGCATACACTCCCTCGGACTTACCCATAAGGGTAAAGCTCAAAACTTGCCATGGGACTCCAAATCCCATTAAGTTGGCAGGTATGAATGCTATCTTACTAGTTAAAGTAATCAGTTCAAGTTCATAGCTGATCATGAAGAGAGATTGTCAGAGGGATCACATAAATAAGACCAAGTGTCTGCTAACAATAATTGATAGAATTAAAATGAGAGAATGATCCAACATGGGAAGCATGCCACGCAGCAGACTCATAGAATGAACAATGCCATAAACAACACTCTGGCCTCAGAATCAGCCCTTAAAACATTCAGATCTGGATAAAAAGCCCATGAGAGCATTTCAAGCATGGAAAGCCAAGACACTGTGGCAAAAAATGACCTACATGAAAGATCTCTTTTAGTGATTTCCTAGTGGAAAGAAGGGACCATCAAAGAAGGAGGTTCCTTTCTCTGAAGGGAGGAGAGAACTTCCACTTTGATTATGGCCTTGTCTAAATAAGATCAGAGTTAGTGAACTCAAGAGGCTTCCATAGCCTTGGCAGCTCATGACAAGAGCCTCAGGTGATTACTGATGTCATAAATAAGAGAGTCAATTGTTAAATCAACAGGAGTCACTGTGCACTTGCTCCCCATGTAGGATCTATGTTCTTAATGTGTTCTATGAGAATTAACAGTAAAACTAGTCTTCAAACAGTACTTTATACTTGGTGTGTCTTTGTGGGTGCAAACTGTTGAAATCTTTACTCAGTATAGAGATCTTCTGTATATAGATAATTAAAATGAATCTTAATGAAGAATGGGATGGGAGAAGGAGTAGATGGGATGGTTTCTGGGTAGGGGGGTGGTTATGGGGGGAAGAAATGCTACAATCCAAAAGTTGTACTTTTGAAATTTATATTTATTAAATAAAAGTTTTCTATAAAAAAAGAAAAAGCTGAACTGTTTCCTTCCATGTTAAAAAGTCTTTGGTTAAATGGCAGGATTATTTTTCTGCCCTTTGGGAACTGAAGTAAAGAAAAGGCAGGGCAACATGCAGAGATCTTCAAAAAGTACAGGGGAAATATATATTATGAAGATAATTTTACATGGATTTCAAAAATTTTTTGCACTGAAATAAACTTACATTTTAATTACATTTAAAAAATAAGGCCTCTATTGGGAAAACTGATTTTTCTCTTATTCTAAACATGCTGATTTTTCCCTTTTCTTCCCTTTCATTTTTCACCAGCTGAACCTTCAGAAATGAACAGTAAGTTCCATGCCTGTTCTCATTTGATAGCTGCCTTTGGCTTCCTACAAGGATCCTTTCCCTTCACTTGCATCCCTCTTGTGGGTATAAAAACACATGTTCCTCCATCTCTTTATCTTAACCTACTATCTAGTTGTTGTCTCGCCCCCTACAGAAATGAATGAATTGAAAATACAAACCACACTGATCAAAAAAAAATATGGTAATCAAAGGAAGCTATCCAAAGTGTATAGTCATCTGTCAACAAGGGAGGGATAATGTTTTATCAGTAACTGAAAGCCTGTACAGGATAACAGCCATAGAAGAATAAAGGTGAAAGCATCACCTTTATTTAAAGAACTTTAAATTAAAGACATTTCCAATCCCATGCAGGATTTCAGGCAGTTTTAGCAGTTACTGAAAAAAGATAAAAGACAGTCATCTCCCTTTCCTGCAGCCTCCCAGACTGAGCAGGAGATAGATGGCCCTAGGTATAATGGCAAGTTTTCTGTGCTCTTCCATTGAGGAGAATGGTCATTCCATGGACATTTCTGAGACTCTCAGAATAAAAGAAAAATTATGTCCTCTTTCACCAGCCTCTCCATACTAATTTCTCTGTTTGTTTTTCAGCTGCAGGATCCACTTGTAAGTTTGACTTGTCACCTTCATTATGGAAATCCTTTGTCTCTGGCAGAAGTTAAAGATCTTAATCGAAAATGTATCCACCCTTGTTAGGATAAACTAGCTTAAACGTCCAATTTCCTTCACCCCTTATTTTTCCTTTACCCAGAAATCCACTAGGTCGTTAATAAGTTTCTTGGACAATCACTGACTCACAAAAAAGTTAAAGATCAGAGGAAAACCAAGTTTCTCCATAGCTCTAAAGACTGTCATTCAGGGACTTTCTATGTAGAAAAAAATAAGAGAATTATGAAGATTACATTTTTGTTTTCCAGCTGTCACATACACAAGAAATTAGTCAGTTGTTTACTTGCTTCTCTGCTGTGAATTTGCCAAAGTCTAGCAATGTATACTTTTACCAGCGTTTTAACACATGAACTTGAAATGCCTATTTTTTGAGCCTTTTTGCTTTTTCATTATCCAGAATTCTACCAGTTTTCTAGAAATTTCAAATGCCTTTAATCAGAAAAATATTTCAAGCAATTATACAAAGTATCTTCAAAGAGCATTAATGGGGAAAATTCATGGAAAAACTATGCATGTATCACAATTTTTGTACTAAAATGAGTTTATGTTTTAATTGCACTTTCCACAAAACTTTTTGATGTATCCTCATATTACCAGGAAATTTTATGATTAGTATAAAAATGAGTAGGATAAGAAACAAGGGGGTAATAGGAAATCTGCTTTTTGTGCTGTAAAATTATCTCCTCATTTAATCAATAAATCTGTGCTCATTTAATTCTCTTGCACGAGACTCATTTGGTCTCTACATGTCCAACAGTCTTTATCTGGCCAGATTGAGATACAAAGGGCTTAAAGTACAACTTGACCTCCTGCTATCTCATTATTACCAAAACTTTTCTGGGATATTAATGATAAACTGAAAGTCATAACTATGGATTTACAGAAATATGAAGAGCAGAGAAAAAAATATATAGTCATAAAGCTATCAACAAGAAATTAACTAAAAACATATAGAAAATAAATAACAGAGAAAGGAGAGGATAAGTATTTTTTTATAACCATTTTCAATTGGGTGCTATTTTTTCACATTTGAGTTCCAAGATACCTAAAGAAAATTTTCCTCACAATACAGAGATTTTAGAAGCTTGATGTTGCTATTTTCTCAATGTCTTGCTTTAATATTACCCATTATTGTCTCAGCTTACTGTTAATGTTATGGAAAAATCAAACTTCACTCACTTATATAAAAAAGAATGGGGGAGTTAAAATTGAACAAAAAAGAAAGGAAAAGGAGATACCTTTTTCTGTTCTACTTTAATTTCATTTGCCTGGAATATCTTTTTCCTCTGGCAGAGCTGGGATGCTGAGCTTGAAAAGCATATTACTTTACCAACTTACCTTCCATTACCAAAATTCCAAGTTGTTATTAATGATTCTTTGGAAAATTCACACTCTACTGATTGACACTAAAAGTAAATAAATACCAATACGGAAAGTTTTTCCTACTGTTAATGACCTTACAAAGAGAGAATTCTCTAAATAGAAGGGGAAAAAGCTGTGGGAGAAATAAAGGTTGCTAAGATACATCTGTTTTTCAGCGGGTCCATCTCCAGCGCCCCATGGTAAGTTGAATTTGTCTGTCTACTGTTTTCTGTTGTTGCCATTTTCTACAAGGCCTGGGGACCTCTGTCCTGTCATTTCTAACTCTATGTGCAGAAACCTGAGATTCATGGCTTCCAGTTTCCTATGCCCTTGCACATCTAGCCCTTCCTGTAAGGGAAGCTTCCATTCACTTAATTTCTTCAATTTTAATTTGTACCTCCTATGTGCTTTAATTACATTATCTCATTTGATCCTAAAGAAAACCTATTAATCCCTTTAGTAAGGAATATGAAACTGAGATGAAATACATAGCCAAGAATACATAGTCGTAGAACCATAATTTGAACGCACAACTGGTGTTACTAGTAAGCCTCTACATTACACAAATAGGCCTTCTTAGGAGGAAACTTATTCCTTTCCAACAAATCTCTGCCAAGGCCTAATTTGTTGTTTTATGTTTATGTTTGTTTAGGTATGCCTTTAGCACCCCTGAGTAAGTACTCATTTATTTCTCTGCTTTGGTTCTTTTTGGTCCCCTTTACTGAACTTTTGTTACATTTGAGTTTCTTTTTCTTCTGTTGCTTCCTTATTATCCACCCTCCTTTATGTTACAGATAATTAAAGAAAATACTGATTAATGGGGCAAGTGTTTGACACAGTGTTTAAGACAATACTTAGGGTGTTCACATCCCATATCAGAGTGTCTGGGTTCAAATCCTAGCCCCTCTGCTTCCAATCTACCTATATGCTAATGTGCACCCTGGAAAGCAACAGATAATGGTTCAAAAATGTGGGTCCCTTCTATCCATATGGAAGACCAGGATTGAGTTCCAGACTCCTGGGTTCTGCCTGCCACAGTGTGTGTGTGTGTGTACATGCACATGCGCGTACATGTGTATGTGTGTATTTGCCTTTCAATAAAAGTGAAAAAAACAATAATTTTTTTAAAAAGAAAACATAGATTGAAAGAAATCAAAACTCAAGAATATTAGAGGGCAGAGTGGTGGCACTGTAGGCTAAGCTGATTCACAGCACCAGCATCTCATATGAACACTGGCTCAAGTCCCACCTGCCTATTTTGCTCCAGCTCCTTGCTCATGTGACTGGGAAAGCAGAAGGTTTTCCAACTACTTGGGCCCATGTCACCCACAGAGGAGATCTGGATAGAGTTCCAGACTCCTGATCTGCAAGGTCTAGCCCTGGCCTTTGCAGCCAATTCAGCCATTTGGAGAGTGAACAGCAGCTGGAAGATTTCACTGTTTGTGCGTGTGTGTGTGTGTGTATGTGTTTCTCTTTGTATGTATTTCAAATAAATAAATAAATCTTTTTAAGGAATGTTATTAAATAATAGTGATAGGCGGAATTTTTGAGAGCAAGTGAGCAAGAGAGTGCATAATTATGTTTAAATGGAAAGAGACTGTGGGTGTTCCCTCCAAGATTGTAATGCTATTCAAAGGAGCCAGAAATATCTATTGATCTATAAGATTTTTAAGATTATTCCAAAAGTTGCTTAGGTCCAAGAAGAAAAGAGGTCATTTAAGGAAATCCTACTTTTGACTTCATCACCCCATCGCTGCTTAATCTTCGTTCTAAGTTTGCACTGCAACTATTCTATAATATTGTATGGGATGCTTCCTTCTTTTGCCTACTCATATCTTCCTCTCACATATACCAGTTAAATATATTAGATATTATCATGTGTTTTCTGTTTGAGAAAATTAAATGAATTTGTTTTTTCCTTATATTTTAGTGATTTCACAGAGAATAACAAGTAAGTTCTTTATTTCTCAGCTGTTCGTATGTGGAGATTTTTCTTAATTTTTGATTTTACTAAGTGCCCAAAAGATTGAGAACCTATATTTTCATATTTATATTTCCGCATTACCCTCCAGATTGACTGCAAGAAAAGTTTTAAAATTCATTCTGTAGAGTTTTCCATTTCTGAGGTAATGGATGCTAACAATGACTCAATATTTAATCCAGAGCAAGCACTAGAAATGGCAATATTTAATATATTTACTAAGCAATCTTTTTTTCATTCAAAAATATTTATTGGTAAGATGCTATGGGTGATACAAAGATGACAGACATAGATCCTGCCCATAAGGAGCTTACAGTCCAGTAGGGGAGATAGAACACATGTGGGATACATGGTCAGAGCTTATGTTTCCATAAGATGAATCTAGTATTGTATATATAAAGTAGTATGGAGTAAGAAGAGGTTAAGTGAAGCTGAGAGCCTACTGAAATTGCCTAGGTTAAGAGGAGGGATGGGAAGACTGTTGAGGTAGAATGGACAGGACTTAGCTGGGAGAGTGGATATGGGAGTCACAAAAAGGAAGCAGGTGACTTGGACTTGTAGCATGAGTGATGTTATGAACTCTTAAGAGTAATGAAGATACAAGTTTGAGAAAAGAAAAATCCCACAGAAAATTATGCAAAGTGCCTGGGACATACATAACAGCTGTAACAGTTTGTGTCCACACACCAAGCAATCAGCTGATTGGAGATGAGATGCCTGAGTCTGGTTGGGAGAATTGACAGGGGGCTGGGTGCTCCTGACTATGAGAGCCTTGTGTGTTAGGACTGTGAAAACGCTGTGTCTGCGTATGAGGGCACAGGGTGTGACTGGGCCCTTGAGTAGTCACTGTGCTCAGCTCCACATGCTCAGGGCACCCAGAATTCCTAGTGAGGGTCATTGCTGTAGGATCCATGCTCACACCTAGGACTGCATGGATCCTTTGTGTGGTTCTTGTGGCAGTTTTGAACAAATATTATACCCACTGGGGCTAGTGACCAAGTATTGGTCTCCTTGGAAGAGAGGAAGTGAGCATGAGACTACACCAACAGAGGAGATTAATGAACCCCTCTGATTGAAAAAAAAAGAAGAAGAAGAAGATATTTACCATGCCCAACTTCAGTGTCACTTTGGACACTCCCCTCACACTGGAGCACTGAACAGAGCTCCCTAGCTACACCCAGCACATGCCTCAAGATACTCACTGAGACACAATGGGAGAGGGGCTGAAGATAGCAGTATAGCAGCAAGGTGTGCTGAGTCATGTAGAGAGAAATTGATGAATAGAGGGGACAGTCAGGTGACAGAACCATGAAAGGTTGGCGCAGAGTGACATGGGAGCACGCCAGAGAATGCATGCCCAGGTAAAGGTGCCCAGAACTGCAGAAAGAGAACGGAACAAAGAACCAGTGGGAGGATGACTGCTGCTGCCTCTAATGCCACTGCTGCCGCCACTGCCGCTGCCACCTCTGACCTACCCTGGGATGGGCAGGTGAGACACATGCATGGTTGAGTGGGGAAGGAAATCAAAACATAGTGAATAGCACCTGCAGGAAGAGGGTGTGATCCAGGGGGACGAACTGAGAGACTGAACATGCCACGATCCCTCAGTGTCTCTCCCCACCCACCACAACCAGAGCTGCAGCAGGCAGAGAGCAGCCATCTTGTTTGCTTACATTTGGGTGTGAAAGAGAGCAAACTCTGCTTTTGCCTCCCAAACATGTGAACTTCAGTGGTGGGGACCACACCACCCAGGGAACAAGGACCACAGCAGTTTGGAGCAAATCCCCACTCTTCGTGCAGGGGACACTGTTACAGGGAGCTGAATAAAGGAGGCCCAGGCACTTTAGGGAAAACAAAGGAACAGGGAGACCAGCCCCAGGGGGCAGAGCTTGGTACCTCAAAGCCCCGGTACCAGCCTACTCAAGTTACCAGAAATCAACAAACACTAGAAGGAGGAGCTGCCTGCTTCTGCTGGCTATTGCTACAGACCCATAGCAGAGGGAAATCAACCTGAAAATTAAACCAAATAAAAATCTGAAGAACAAAAGAAAAATCCTGAATAAGAATACAGAAGAACCTATGAATTCACCAATGGAGCAGGCTAAACCGTCCATAATAGAGACTGAAGAAGAAGAATTTGAAGTCATGCCTGAAAAGGAATTCAGAAAATTAATAACAGATTACTTAGAAGTAATGAGAAACAGATTCAAGATTTGAATGAAAAGCGTGCCCAAGGATTAGAGATCCTAAAGAGAAGCCAGAATGAAATACTGGAAATGAAAAACTCAATTGACCATATAAAAAACACTGTGGAATCCCTCAGAAATTGAACAGATGAAATAGAAGAGTGAATATCAGAACTTGAAGACAAACTTCCAAAAATAATACAGTCAGATCAAACACAGGAAGAAGAAATTAGAAAATCAAAAAATACAGTTGGAGACCTACAAGATTCAATCAAGCATTGTAATGTCCCGATAACAGGAGTCCCTGAAGGTGTGGAAAGAGAGAATAGATTGGAAAGCATTTTCAATGAAATAATATCAGAAAACTTCCAACATAGGCAAATTGAAAGAACAACCAAATTCAACAAATACACAGGAACCCCAACAAAATAGACCAGAAGAGAAATTCACTGCAACACATTGTGGCAACATTCAGCTCAGTGAAACACAAAGAACAAATCCTAAAATATGCCAGAGAGAAACGGCAAATCACATCCAGAGATAATTCAATCAGACTCACCCCAGACTTCTCACCACAAACACTACAGGCAAGGAAACAATGGCATGATATATTCCAAGTTTTAAAAGATAAACAATGCCAACCTAGAATACTGTACCCTGCAAAGCTGTCATTTATGAATTAAGGGGAAATAAAGATCTTCCACGACAGAAACTGAAAGAAATTGTATCCTTGCATCCAGCTCAACAACACTGGCTCAAAGACATGCTGCAACAGAAATACAGAAACACGAACTTCACTACAAAAAAGACTAAAGTAGAAAATGACCCAACTAAACTACAAACAAATCTCAAAATACATAAACAGCTCTTTTAAAGAAACCTGACTGGAAAAATACAGCATTTAACAATAGTCACACTGAATGTAAATGGCCTCAACTCTACAACAAAGAGACACAGACTAGCAGATTGGATTAAAAAAGAAATTCCATCTATTTGCTGCTTTCAGGAAACATACCTTATCAGCAAATATGCATGCAGACTAAAAGTGAAAGGATGGAAAAAAATATTCCAAGCTAACAGAAACAAAACAGAGATAGTGTGGCCATCCTAATATCAGACAAAATAGACCTTAACACAAAAACTATTAAAAGAGACAAAGAAGGATATTATATAATGATTAAAGGATCAATCCAACATGAACACATTAATATTATAAATGTATATGCACCTAATTACAGGGCGCCTGGTTACTTACTTTATAATTACTAAAGGACTTAAAGGGCGATATAGACTCAAATACAATAGTAACATTGGACTTCAACACCCTACTTTCACCAATGGACAGATCAACCAGACAGAAAGCCGACAAGGAAACAACAAAGCTAATTGATGCTATAGACCAAATAAACCTAGTAGATATCTTCAGAGCCTTCAACCCCACAGCCAGAGTTCACAAATTTATCCCCAGTACATGGAACATACTTTAGGATTGACCATATGCTAGGCTATAAAGGGAGCCTCAGCAAACTCAAAAATATTAAAATTATACCATGCATCTTCTCAGATCATAACGCAATGAAACTCAAAATCAACAACTCAGGAATCTTTGCATCATATGCAAACACATGGAGAATGAACAACATGATTCTGAATGAATAGTGGGTCATAGAAGAAATCAAAAGCGAAATCAAAAAATTTCTAGAAACAAATGAAAATGAGAATACAACTTATCAAAACTTGTGGAATACAGCAAAAGCAGTGCTAAGAGGAAAGTTTATAGAAATTGGTGCCTACATCAAGAAACTGGAAAAGAACCAAACAAATGACCTGTACATGTACCTCAAGGATTTGGAAAAACAGCAGCAAACCAAACCCAAACCCAGCAGAAGAAAAAAAATACTAAAGATTAGAGAAAAAATAAACAGAATTGAAACCAAAAAAAAATACAAAAGATCAGCAAAACCAAGAGCTGCTTCTTTGAAAAAATAAACAAAATTGACACACCATTGGCCCAACTAACCAAAAAAGGAGAGAGAAGACCCAAATCTATAAAATTAAAGATGGTAATGGAAATGTAACAACAGACCCAACAGAAATAAAAAGAATCATCAGATACCACTACAAAGAGATGTATGCCAACAAATTGGGGATCCTTGAAAAATTGATAGATTCCTGGAAATATACAACCTTCCTAAACTGAGCCATGATGATATAGAAAACATAAATACACCCATAACCATGAAACAAATAGAATCAGTAATAAATGCACTACCAAAAAAGAAGAGCCCAGGACCGGATGGCTTCACCACTGAATTCTACCAGACATTTAAAGAAAAACTAATCCCAGTTCTTCTCAAATTATTCAAAACAATTGGAAGGGAGGGAATCCTCCCAAATTCTTTCTATGAGCTGATATCACCTTAATTCCTAAGCCTGGAAAACATGCAATAGAGAAAGAAAATTATAGACCTATCTCCCTGATGAACATAGATACAAAATTATCAACAAAATCTTGGCCAACCGAATCCAACTACACATCAGAAAGTTCATTCACCCAGACCAAGTGGGATTTATCCCTGGTATGCAGGGATGGTTCAATATTCAAAAATCAATCAATGTGATACATCACAAATTGAGCAACAAAAATCATATGATTATCTCAATAGATATAGAGAAAGCATTTGACAAAATACAACACCCTTTCATGATGAAAACTCTAAGAAAATTGGGGTTAGAAGGAACAATCCTCAACACAATTAAGGCAATTTATGATAAACCCATGGC